AAAATACATTTCCACAAAAACGCTCTCTCTCTCTCTCTCTCTCTCTCTTATTTACTGTTATATAAAAATTATTATAAAATAACTAATTTATTACTTATTAGTCAATAGCTTCGGTATTTAATTGCAAACTGTAGCCGACGATGCGTGAAATATAAACCTGTTCGCTTGACTCGACTATTAACTGTGGGAGGGACACCAACGCAAACACACACACACACACGTACTTATGTCACGTTCACACATTGCATTATACAAAGTTGTAAAAATATTTATAAATAAACATAAATACATTTGTTTTTAGCTATCAACATATGCCATATACTTGTGTGTGTTTGTATGTATGTGTGTTTGTGCTCGCTGATGAGTTAAGCCAACCAAGTTAGATGTGGACTTTGATTTTTTCATTTGGCATTCCGAGCGAATTATTCCGGCTGCGTCGGTTTCCAGTGAAATGTTAAGTCCCAAATGAAACTTGTTATACAAATTCATAATTGGATGCATTCATTTGTAATATTAAAAATAATAATAATAATAAAATCATTATTCATGTTAGATAAATTGAGTGCTTATTACGGAGATGAATGGAGAGAATAAATACAGAACATTGTTCGGAGAAAAACAAACAATCTAAGTTGTTTATTATTCAAGAGGAGTTTATGAAAAAATACTAATTTTTGAAGGGGGGGAAAAATGATATTCATCGGGTATTAAAGGTATGGCATGTGAAAAGTAGACACGTGTGTGAATGTTTGTGCATAAGTATGCATACGACTTCTGTTCATTGGGAAATGGTGATTTTTAAACATTCTCAGTAATATTTATTAAACGCTTCGTAATATTTTTCCAGTTGTTGCAAAACTACAGCTTTCCATTGGGTTTATTTGATGATGTTAATAAAAAGTGACTTTTATTTGTGCAATCTGATGTGTTAAATAGTGCAAGGACTCACTGCCATGCTTGAAAGATAGCGGGTGTCAAAATTTTAGAAATTTCAGCTTTTAGCTGAAAAAATGCATAGTCGGTTGGTGATCCAATGTCTTCTTTGAGCGAACTCAATTTTTTAAGATTGAGTGAAGATTTATTTATAACAGTGGGAGTCGAAGGAGTTATGCAAAACTTACATCAACTTTGGAGATGAGGAAAACCCGGATAATAACCCAACAAAAGTTCAAAATTACATATTTCATATAAGTGTACAAAATTGTTCACAGGTACCAGAAATTCACCTCAAAAAAAAAAAAAAAAAACTCATCACCCACAAAAAGCCATATTTGTTTTTAAAAAATCATGAATCTCGTATTTTTTGAACAGAATTTCCGATTAAGTTCAATTGCTCAAGTGTTGTTGTCCAATAGCAAATCCTGGCCTAAATTCAGAATTTTTAAAGGACTTCCCGACGAAGAATCGCGTTTGTAATATTTTTCCCAATTAGCCTTATATAAACTAAAAACTAAAACTAACTGGTTAAGAATCAAGAAATAAGTGCTGATTTTTTAAAATATCTTTTCCAGGTACCCTGTGTAACAATACAGGGTGGTATAAAAAAATACAAGAAAGTCAAACACCACAATTTTCACATTTTTTTAAATAATTCATTATACCGTATAACACTATGTGTTGGGGGTATTATAAGTTTGATTGGGCCAAAAATTATGTAACACCTCGAAATATTGGTTTCCTACATAGGAAAGTATATATGGATATTTCTATCACGCCGAGCTGAGTCGATCTAGCTATGTATGTCCGTCCGTCCGTTTGTCCTTCTGTCCGTCTGTCCATGTTAATTTGTAATCACTCTACAGGTCGCAATTATGGCCCGCTCCTCACGAAATTTAGAACGGAGGTGGGGTTATGGTCAGACTAGAACTCTATTCCTTTTAGAGATAATCGCATAATATTTAGGTGTCGAAATGGACCTATCGACGCATGGGGCTAGAGCTTAAGGCTGGGTAGAAGCCTTCCAATTTTGAAGGTCATCGGGTAATATTTAGTGGGTGATATAGACTATAATATATTTGTTAAATAAAAGTCAAATTTTCCTTAAACCGCGAATATTTTTAGTCCCGGCGAAATCACAAATAGATGAACTGACCGTTACGTAGATGCCGATAGTAAATATATCGGATATATATTGCGAAATATGTACAATGTATATATACAAAGGAAGGGGATGGTAGCTAGAATGATTATATCTTAAGAATGGCTGGACCGATGTTGAGAAATTTTGTCAATTCAGAATGCCCTCTTGACATAATAGTCAAAAATCTAAAAAAATCTAAAAAAATTGTATTATTTTGTGACATTTTTTTATTTTTTCATATTTTTTATCGCATGCGATTTTTTCAATTTGACTTATAATATTGAAGTGTACATTTTGTAATATTTTTTCACCTTACAACACAGGTTGGAGATATTATATTAGTATTCCAAATATCGTCCGATCCTCACGAACATTTTCACAAGGGTAGGGTTAGGCTCAGAAGGGCTAGGCCTATTGTTTTCAAAGATGTCCGCAATATATTAGGGGTTGAAATGGATCAACAACTAAAAATTTGCTTGTTTTTGCAGCCGCTATAAAGGTCACAAATAGTTGTTAGAGTTTAGGACAGCGGGTAAAATGGACCACTAATTTTGTGTGAAAAAATACCAGCATTACTCGCAGGCGATATACGAAATACACAAAAGGCGAACTACTGGCTTTTTTATGCTGATTTCGTTGACGAATATAGCCAAATATCGTAGAGAAGCAAATCATCCTTGGGCTTGGGCATCTTGCTTTTGGAGATGATTGCAAAATATTTAGGGGTTCAAATTAACCAAAAACAGAAATGTTTTTTCGATCACACAATTGAAGCCAATCAACACGCCTGTGAAGAGAGTTAAGGACAGAGGAGAATTCTCGCATTTTGGATGACCATTAGATTATATTTAGCTTTAAAATGGACCACAGCAACTAACAGCCTGACGGAGTGCATAAATATTGGACAAATGTCCCTAGTCCAAAATCCTAATTTCAATAGCGAAATCTCCCAATATGCATTTGGACATAGAGGGACTTCTAATTATTATTATTATTATTATTATTATTATTATTATTAATATTATTATTATTATTATTATTATTATTATTATTATTATTATTATTATTATTATTATTGTTATTATTATTATTATTATTATTATTATTATTATTATTATTATTATTATTATTATTATTATTATTATTATTATTATTATTATTATTATTATTATTATTATTATTATTATTATTATTATTATTATTAATATTATTAATATTATTAATATTATTATTATTATTATTATTATTATTATTATTATTATTATTATTATTATTATTATTATTATTATTATTATTATTATTATTATTATTATTATTATTATTAATATTATTATTATTATTATTATTGTTATTATTATTATTATTGTTATTATTATTATTATTATTATTATTATTATTATTATTATTATTATTATTATTATTATTATTATTATTATTATTATTATTATTATTATTATTATTATTAATATTATTATTATTATTATTATTTTTTTTTTTTTGAAAAATTTCCAGTTCCTTCCGAATGTTTTATTTGTTTAGTTTAAACCTTGAAGTCTCATCATACATTCTATGGCAATGTTATTTTGTTCGGAGAGGTACAATTGCCTTGGTTAAATTTGGGTAGCTCGACTACAGAAGGCTCCGCCCGACTATTGGCCTTTCTTTACTGGTTTAATCATAGATATTTTTAGAAAATGTGTTCAATATCTCAAATATAAAACATTTGTTCAATGATTCCTTCCGAAAATCGTGGAAAAAATTCAGGAATATTCTGAAAGAAAAAAAAAATCTTTTTGAAAAATCATCATTTTTTTTCTTGGAAAAGTCAAGGATTTTTTATAAGAAACGTGGGTCCCGTTTCTGAGGATTTTTTATAGAAAGGTCAGAATATAAACCTATTATTTTTAGTGAGGATCGCAATATTTTTTGTCGTTGAAATTGACCAAATGCTTATTTTGCAGTTGCTCTAAGAGCCATTTTACATGGGGTTACAGCTTTGTGTTGGGCTGAAGCCTACCAATTTATGTGGTCATCGATTATAATATTTACAGATTGAAATGGACCATAACATTTGTGTATAAAAATGCAAAAATTCAATTTGTACAAATGCAAATCGGTTGTAGATATATATAGGAGCTATATCTAAATTTGAACCGATTTTGACAAATTTCAATAGGGTTTGCCCTTGGGCCAAACAAATATTGTTTGGAACATTACGCCTTAGTCGGATAATAAATGCGTCCTGCATTTGGTTCACATGTTACAATACATGGACAGACGGAATGACATGCATAAATCCACTCTGGATGTGATTCTCGTTTCCTTGTCCATGTTATAAACAAATGCACAAAGGCATAATACCCTTAGCAATATGTCGTGTAGGGTATAAATACGCAGTTCTTCTAAAATTCTAATTCTGATTGTTGGGTGTACACGAAGTGACCCAGAAGAGAAGAATATTTGTCATTTGGGGCCTCCCATAAACCAGAATTGCGTTTTTGATCCAGAAACTAATGTTGATGGGTATATGTATCCCACAAATCTCACAAATGTATACATAACCTCCTGCAAAATTATCCTTTCTGCCCCCTAATGCATATCAAACATCTAACCCGTTTTTGCTACAATTTATTCTCATTCCAAAAATCCTCTCTTGTCATAATATTTTTTATCTCTCCTTGAGTACCTTTATAGTACGTTTATATATATGAGGGTTAACCCACTGGATTTGGATTTAAATTGTCATACCCATTACTTTTACTTCAAATAAATCCTCTCAAAGTAGGTTAACCCTACAAAAAGTTCTAACATAAACATGGCATTAGCCGAATAACCCCACAAGATTTATTTGAACAACGACCGGTCAACAAACCGACCGAACGACCACTCCTTACCTGTTTGAAGATAAAACCACTGTTGCTTCTTTGTGTTTTTTCTTGTTTATTTTAGAATTAGAATTAATATTTATTTTACTTAATTAAAAAATGTTAAGAGCGACAAAAAATACATAAACGTTTCTCTTTTTTTGTTTTATTCTAGCTAGACCTCACTTATTTTTAATAGGAAAACAAACAAAATGACAGAAACAAAAAGAATTACGATGAGTGAGCGACGACGACAATGGACGTCAAAAAAAAAGAACGAAAAATTTATGAAAATTTGCAGTTAAATTTAAAAAAAGAAAATTAAACAAACAAAACGAAACGAAAAAACGCTGACTTAATACATAGTAAAGAGTAACAAAAATCTACGGCAGATGGATAGAAGGATGGATGCGGCTGGAAATTATTTACATATGACGGGTGTTGCCGAAACCACCATGGCCAGACTGGGAGGCACCCTTGTTGTAGCCCATCTGCAAGTTGAGTTCAGCATTGTGGGCACGCAATTGTTCTTCGGTGAATTCACGTACATTCTTCTCGGCCATTTTGGGTCCCAATGTGGGGCCGGTGAATTCGGGATGGTGTTGGGTCTGAAATGAAAAAAGAATCACATTATTGTTGTAATTAATCTATTTTATGTTTTCCCTCTTGTTGCAAACTTACGGTACGTCCCAAAGAGTACAGGCACAAAGTGACCTGGGGAATATTGCGACGCTCGAAGAGATCAGCTGTCTGGAAAATTTCCTCTTCTGGTACACCGTACTTCTTGATGGCAGCCTGGAAACGTTGAATGTTTTCCATCAATTGGAAGTTGGTGCCACGTTCTTGGATCTTCTTGACGGAGCCGGGAGCCAATTTGTTAATCAGTTTGCAGAGAACAACACCGTCCTTCAAGATATCTTCATATTGACCAGCTGGCACTTTTTCGCCCAAAACTTCGAAGATCCAGTTCAAGACTTCTTGTTCTTGTTCCTTGTTGCGGGGCTAAACGATATGGAAAAAAAGAGAAAAAGGTTAGTAATTAAATTAATTTTATTTATTTATTTTTTTAATTATGAAAAATAAATATAGGAATATCAGCTGCTAAGAAAGAAGATTGAAGGATTTTCACCAACTGTAGACCTTAAAATATTTTTCATTAGGGAAAAGAGTTCTAAAGTATTTTCGATGCAATATGCTCAGAAAATATTGCAAAATGGTGGGATTTAAAAAAGTCATGTAGTCAAAATATATTTGGAAAATCTTTTACAGACTCTCGACTTTAAAAGAAAAATCTAAAATGTTTTAATCTGGTACCTAGGCAGGGGAGCTTAATAGGGTTTATCCAGACCAATAGAAAATTGTCAAAAAAGAGTTCCATAGAAAAGATCGTTGAGAAATCGCATTCAGAAGGATCTTCTATAGACATGAGAACTTCTTGAGACCTACTATATAAAAGAGGATTTTAACAAGCATTCTCTATAAAGCATTCTTCTGAAGATTATAGATCCTTGAAAAATTTGCTATAAACGTAGGACCTTTAAAATACTTTTGAAATACATTTTTTTTAAAAGGTCTCCTTCAAAAATACGATGTTTATACTTTTTTTCTTGGAAGAGGAGTTTAATGGAAACGTTAAACAAGTTCTCTCTAAAGAAGACCTTTAAAGGTTCTAATTCAGAAATAAAACGATTAAAGGTATGTTATAGACTTGGTTAACTTAAAAAGGCTTTTTACACACAGAAGAGCTTTGAAAGCTCATCGATGAACCAAATTCGTCGGTAACCAGGAGAGCTATATTTAATTTTCTCTAGACAAAAGAGTTTTAATATACCATGCCTACGCAGAAGAGCTTTTAAATACCTTTAATAAACAGAAAAGCTTTATTTTTTCGTCCCTAGATGGAAGAGCTTTAATTGACCTTTTCTTCTATACGTTTTCATTACCAGCATTACAGCAGAGCCTTATTTGATTTTCTTTAGACAGAAGAGCTTTAATTGATCTTTCTTATATGGGCTAGCTTTTATTGAACTTCGATAGATTACAGAGTGTTATGTATAAAGGAACTTTTAAACGTATTCATTGAGCAGTATAACTTTATTTCTATACCAAATAACTTTGATAAACAGAAGAGCTTTATTTTATTTTCTATACACAAGAGCTTTAGTCTTTAAACAGAAGAGCTTTAAGAGACGTTCTACAAACAGGAAAGCTTTATATGATCTTTCCTGTAAAAGGAGCTTTAATTGAACTTTTTTAGATAGTAGCGAGTAGATAGCGAGTTAAAGAAGATCATTGAAAGAGTTTTCGTATAGAGAAGATCTGAGATGCGATTCTTATATAGAATACCCTTAAAAATACATCCTTAGACAAAAAAAAGCGTTGAAAAAACTTTTACAGACAGGAAAGCTTAAAAGTGACATCTGCTATTGATGGGAGGCTTTAAATTGTTTCCTCTATGCATCAGAGCATCAAAAGGTTTTCTATGGACAGAAGAATTATGACAAGCTTCTATAGATAGAATTGCTTTAATGAACATTTTCTGTACAGAAAACCTTAAATAGATATCTTCTAGGCAGAAGAGCTTTAATATATTTTCAAAAGAACAGAAAGAACTTTTATAGACGGGATGCTTTTGGGAGGTTTTCTATAGTCAGATATGAGAGCTTAAAGATGTCTACCTCATACAAACAAAAAAAAATATTAGACAACTTCCATGAACAGAAGAGCTTAAACAGACTTTAGTAGACAGAAGAGCTGCAATTGTTCTTCACTAAACTGAAGAGCTTTCAACGATGGCCTTTTCTACACGACAAATCTTTTATATATCTTCTTTAGATGGAAAAGCCTTAAATGATTTTTTTGTTGGCATTCGAGCTTTTAAAGATCTTCTATAGACAGAAGAATTATGAAAAGCGTGTTTAGATAGAATTGCTTATTTTTCTATACAGAGAATTTCCTAAAAGAGCTTTAATATATCTTTAAAAGGCCAGAAAGGACTTTTAAAGGCCGGAAGCTTTTGGGAGGTTTTCAAAAACAAATAACCTTAAAATATATGCCCCGGACAGAAGAGCTTTAAAAGGTCTTCTACCTATAGAATAAATGTAAAGAACTTCCATAAACTTAGAAAAGCTTTTATAGCTCCTTATAAAGCAGAAGTGCTTTAAAAGATCTTCTCTAGGTAGGAGAGCTTTAAAAATGCCTTTTATAGACAGAAGACCGTGGTATAGATCTCTATAAGTAAAAAGCCCGAAAAAAGAACTTCAAAATACCTTTTCTGGGGAGGAAACTTTTTTGGAGAGAAAAGCTTCTAAAGTAATTTTATATAAAATATGTCTAGAGGTCTGCTTAAGGGCTTAAATAAATCTCCGACAGTGGCAAGATCATTAAAATGCCTTCAAAGGGGTTTCTATCAACAGAAGATCTTTAGAAAAATTTCTATAGACAAAAGACATTCACCGTATCGTCTACAGGTGGAACAGCTTTACAAGGTTTTCAATTTACCGACGTTTTTCGAAAGACGCATTATAAGACCTTCCTTGCTTTGATAATATGATTTTGCAGATATTCTATAGACATATGATTACTTTTCAGATCTTCTGTGAAAAGGAGGATATATTAAGAAATTATTATTTCTTCCAAGCCCTTTTACAGTCCTTTATGGAAAACAGCAGCAAATTTTCTTTGTGTAGAAACTTTCCACAAATCAACTTTAAAACTTTCCACTAATAAAATTAGTTTTGTGTGTCCGATATGTGTTGATCTAAGTTCAGACTACTCTAACATCCAAAAAAGTTCCAACTAAAATTTCGATATTAATTTGTTTCCAATTTTCATTCAAGGAAAAAATTAATACCATAAAAAAAGTTCAAAATGTTTTGATGATATTGAAAAAAAAAAAAAACTTTTCAAAACAAAACATTTCTGTCTACTTTTTTTGTGACATGATTTCACGCCATAGACAAATTGTGTTTCTCCTGCACTTTGTTGGCGCGATATTTCCGTGGATGATGTGATGCTGTGCTGCACTTTGCAATCTCCTTTTATTTCAATTATTTATTTGTTTGTGTTGTTTCGGGGTGTCCGGTTTTAGAAATAAACTAAATGTTTGACTGCCTCGTTGGTTGACTGTGCGTTGTGGGCGTTTTTTTGTTTTTTTTTTTGTTGCTGTTGTCGTTGTTTAGTGTTTTTGCAATGTTTAGGTCTTTGGCATTTGGCCAATTGGCTTAATTAAATTAAACAGATTTTTAACTCTGAGAAAAAACAAACGTAAGCGATAAAATACGCGCACATGTGTATGTATGCGCGCTTGTCAGTAAGGCAACCCCAGATTTCTAACCAACGAAAAAAAAGAAGCAAAATTTCAAAAATCTAGAACAAAAATGTAATACAAATTGTTCCAGAAATTCCACATGCAAAAGAGAAAAAAAGAACAATAAAACATTGCAAAAAATCGCTAAACGTAACCTGCATATTTCAGATTTCCTTTTATTTTTTGGCCAATATTTTTTTGGCTTGAATTCAATGTCAGAGAAATATTTTACTATGTCAATGAAATTTGCCACATACATATTTATTTATTTTTTTTAATGTCTCTTGTTTAGCTATTTTCTTGGCATCTGTAATTTTTTTCGCTTTTGGAATATTCCAGTTGTCATATTTGCCAATTTATTATAAATTTTGTTATGGGGAAATTTATTGTGTTAGTTTTTTTTGGCTCTTAAAATAAATTCCTCATTCCCCTCATTGTTTGACAATGTATGGAGGATGTTTTGGATTGAAACAAGTAAAGCGGAACATTTCAAAAAAAAAAAAAAAAAAAAACAAAAAAAAAAAACTTTAGGAAATTACAAAAAAAAAATATATATGGACGCTTGGAATTGTCGAATTACGTCGAGTAATGAGAGGTTCCACTGTACCACCTGATTATTCAAATGATCACAAATCAGAATATTCAGGACAAGAACTTGTCAATTGAAAATTTCTGAAAAACGTTAGGAACGCTTGTACTCTCTTGGAGAAAAGGGACTCAAATGAGATAAATGATACTTATATTGAGGCCTCTCCCAAAAAAAATCCTTCCGGCAAATTTTGCTCGTTTCAAGCTATTTGCAGTTATTACTAGAAGTCCATTATTTAGAGTTTCCACTGTCCCATATTGTGTAATTTAAATGTTCGCAAAATAATTATATTGTTGCCGGTTTTGTTTTGTGGCTTTATGCCGTTTAGGCTCATAAGATCATTTATGGTTTGCCCATTACTAAAAACTCATCACCAATTATGGTGCATTTTTGAAGGCTTTTCCAGTTCAAATAGTTAGAGGGCTAATTTAGAGGAATATAAAGGGTAGTAAATTTATTAAAATGTACATCATAATAAGAATGGGTAGTAAAAAATAATAATATTAGGAGGAAGTACAAACTAAAGTATCTCAATTTGCCAGAGGCCCCTCTAAACGCTCTTGCAGATTTGTCAGGGGTTTATTAGCCCTTATAGGTTGTCCATTGGAAAATTTTTATGTTTAGCAGATATTTCAAAGAATTTCTAAAATTCTCACAAATATATCTTATTTTTTGTTATGGAAGTATTTCTTGAAGAACTCTTCAAAAATATTCTACTAATTACATTAGACAACACAAAAAATCACAAAAATTAATAATTATAGTAATAATAATAATAATGCTAATAATAAATAGGAAAGAAAATCAGAAAACCCTTGAATATAATTTACATCGCAAAAGTTTACATAGTTTGCATACCCTTTACCCCTATTTTTACCCCTTCTATTTTTTTTGAGATTTTCAAATATATATTTTTTTTGTTTTTGAATCCTTACAGTTTAAGTAACTAATTTGTAATCATCAAGAGAATCAACAAAGGGATATTTCTTGTTATACCCTACACCACCTTTATATACCCTACACCACCTTTTTATACCCTACACCACATGATGGTCAGGATATTATGTCCTTGAGATAGACCCATAGTTTCATTTGATGATCTGC